AGGAGCATTACGGATTGTCAATGCAGGCGTAAAAGGTACATTTTTCGACACATAGATGCAAAGCTTTACATTGTCTGCCACTTTGTCACAACCCACTGATATATTCAGTGGTAAAGGCATATTCAGGTAGAGTGAAAAGTGTGTGTAGAGGGGCATAACGTCCAACCTATTTATAATTCACACTGTATTTGCTTATTCATCCACTAAGCAAGTGGCTATTCTCGCACCCGTCCCAATGCATTTAGCAAGTAGGAAATGGTGTCGTGTGGGCTAAGCTGGACAAGAGCACGTTAAGAACATGATGGTTTTTACAGCAGGATGACCAGTTTAGCACCAAATTTTGGGGAGTTTTGCTGTGCAGTTCTTTTCTGTTGTCTTTCGTCACGCTGATCACGAATATGATGTTATGATGTTGATTTCAATTTTTATTGCGGCGCTCTGCCCAGTTAAGCATTTACTTACCATGCTGTATATTTCACAAGCATTGCTTCAAATTAGAGGTCCGATTTTTATCTTACCATTTCGCTACTCACCATCTTAGATATCTCACTCTCACCTTGTATGTGGGTTCATGAATTCTCCAGCCTAGTTTACATGGGATATATATATATATATATATATATATATATATATATTCGTAATAATATGATATATTGATAATATGCTATTCTGTGATAAGATAACATCTTACAAATAATGTTAGATTTTGCATTATCATATTATATTGATATGATAACACTGTTTTATCATATTTTTGAAAATATATATTTATTGATAACATGTGCATCGGCACGAAATTAATACATTAGGTGATTACATGGCTGATTGCCATGGCGACTGATGTATTTAACATGAAGGTGCCGTTGAGGTGAGACGTTGAGGCAACGTAGTGGTCGGCAAGTTCATCCCCGTCGACTGTAGTATTAATTTTTCTGCGAAATAAACCGGGAGGTAAACACGGATTTTACACTCTTGTAAGTCTGAAATAGAAACGCCAAATTTTTCGAAGGAATTTCGTCGCAGGGAGTCGTTAGATGCGCGATGTGACGGTATTCAGTGATATCTGATTACTAGCCACATATTTGACTCTCGCCTGTTGGGTGAGACAATTAATTCCCCTCCTAATTTGCATGGGAACTGATGTACTTCAGCTTAAGTTAACTGGCGCCAAAAAGTACCATCTCTGGCAATGAATAAACCACATACCGATCGTGCTGCGTAAGGCACGAAATAGTCGCCAGTTGCCAGCAGACTTTTATTTTTCTTTGTCAGTCGGACAAAACTCCAACTGACCAACACGGCCGCACGTGCCAGGCTGGTCACGTTTGTCTGTTCGCCAGCAGACCTTTGTTGACAGCCGGACAAAAACGCGCGCTCGCTCCGCGGATCGTACCCGCCACAGCGCATTGGTATTCCAGCACCACTCCACACCCTCACGTAGAATGCGCGCACCTTGTGCGTAGGAATGGTCCTGCGTTGTGCCTCTAATCCCGCTCCCAGGGTAGACTCGCATGCACAAGCAAGTTGGAGCGGCCGATAGCCCTTTACTCATTTCAGTGATGCTCTGTATACCGACCACGTTTTACTTTGCTCAATGCAGGCTGGGCACATGTCTCAAACATTCCTTGCCATGGAGTTGAAAATATCCGCCCGTTGGCATGCACTCCAAACAATCCTTTCTTGGGTTGTACAAGGTGATGGTTGGCTAGTACCTATCTCTCGTCGGAGACGCAGACAGTTGCCGGATCTTCATATCCAGCGATATGAAAAGTTACCATATATCTGTCCTTCGTTTTTGCTGGCCCACTGTTCCCACATTTCCTCTGACACGGCACATTTTCTACGCCATTATATCCAGTAATTTACTACAGGAGCATGTAACTCAGTGGCAAGAGTCAAGAACATACATGGCAAATGCTTAACTTTCCTTGCCACAGAACGGATGTGAGCAGTAAGGGACGAGCAAGGGCTCGTTTGGTTGTCAGAACTTGTCATAAATTTTGCTTTCCGTAAGGCATTCCGATAGGCGCTCGCTGCTGGATGACGGCTGAAGGTACTGGACTGGGGTGACCAGATGAAGTGAGCTTGTAGGCGTCCGGTCTGCTGGCGGACTCTCAGCCCTCGCTGGCGGACTCTCAGTTCTTGTTGGTTGACTCACAGACCCCACTGGTGGACTCTCAGCCTCTGCTGGTGCACTCTCAGCCCTCGCTGGCGAACTTTCAGCTCTTGCTAGTGGACTCTCAGCCCTCGATGGCGGACTCTCAGCCCTCGTTGGCGGACTTTCAGCTCTGCTGGTGACTCTCAACTCTCACCGGCGGACTCACAGACCTCACTGATGGACTCGCAGACCCTGCTGGTGAACTCTCAGCCCTCGTTGGTGGACTCTCAGAGCTTGCTGGCGGACTCTCATCCCTCGCTGGCGGACTCTCATCCCTCGCTGGCGGACTCACAGGCCTCGCTGGCGGACTCACAGACCCTGCTGGTGAACTCTCAGCGCCAGCCCTACCGAGGACCTGTTCAACCTGAGGACCTGAGGACCTGTTCGGAGTTTCACGCACCCACCGGCCGAGATACTACGGGCGCTGCGCGTGCGCCTGGGTTAGCGACAATGCTCGGGCGGCGAGGCATTTTTGACTCGGCCTTTTAGCTAACGGCTGTTGGAGCGCGCTAGCGCATTGTGGGTAGCACAGCGGCAGGGGATCCACTAAGACCGTTGCCTTGGGGCACAGATGGGTGAACAGAGCTGGTCATTGGATGTCGCCGACATCCCGCTCCCACACCGCTCGGAGCGGGGTGGGAAGATCTGTGACATGTCATTGGAGTTGTGTGCAACTCACAGGCAATAAATGGGAACTTCATAACATGTTTCACTTTCTGAAATTTGTGGAACGACCCCCAAGTGGTCACTTTCTGCCGTTTGTTCAGTGATTCGGTAGCGTTTCGGCACGAGGCAAGAGTTCCCCCCACCCTCTCCCACATCATGCTCACGTCATCTCTTATCGCTCCCAAGACTGCAGAAGGGCGCCTCACGTCAGCAGGCTCGTCGCGCGGGCCTCAGCCAGCGCGGTGGCGCAAAATGGCAACATCTCTACCAAAACCTTCTAGGTGATTAAACCGAACGCGTTTGGGTCACCCGGGGGGGGGGGGGGTGGGGGCTGCGCTGTCACAATCGCGAGTTTTGCGTACCCGCCGCGACCGAGCGGCCGCTAGTCTCGTCCAAGCAGCACTGGACGGCTGGCTAGAGGCGATGAGAAGGACTCAGAGTGGCGTGGAAGGAGGAGAAGGGGAAAGAGCGGACATCGATCCGTGCGGGGGACGTGGCTGAATCGCTGCATTGCGACAGTAAATGACCGGTATGGGTCTTACTGACCATTGTCGAAAATGTGGAATTCGAAGTACGTACCATACCGTAAAATCCACGCCATTCCAAGCGACAGGGAGCGCGCCTGACCTGTCCACCGTCATACATGATATCACAATGCAACAGTCACAATGCGTCCGCAATGCATCGTAGCCAATACATAATGATACACACGCATACGGGATGCGGATAAGACAGCTGCAACAGCTGGTCGCAGAGCAGGCGCAGCTGCGAGCCGGCCAGCAGCTCGGCCCCAAGCCGACCAACAAGCTCGGCCCACAGGCGATTCTCTGATCTGGCCATTCGAGTGCAGCAAGCCTGTCGTCGTACTGACCGGTCACCTTCGACGTTGGCTCCCAGCACACGAACCTCGACTGGCTTGGTTAAGCGGCCGTCCACAAACAGGGAGGCAACACTGTACGAGAAGCGGATGTAGGCGGCCGCCCAGTGCTACCTCCTTGGTGGTGGGTCGCTGTCCCAGGTAATGCGCGGGACTCAGTCACCTAACTGAACACATCCTGGGAGAGGAAGAAAATGAGTACAGCCCATGCCGCAAAACTGCAGCTGAACACGAACTCAGTGTAATTATACCAAAGCAATGAATAACTTGAAGAGGAGAACAGTCGCTGTTCTGGAAGCGGAGCGCATGCACAGATTCCGAAGCAAAGTTCGCTGTCGGTCTCGCCCGTGGCATCGTCTTCGTTCAAACGAAACCAAGCCGGCGGAATAACCTTTATTGCCATTTAATCCACAATTCCCACCAATCCAGCTGACAGCTGAGGTATTAATCGATTTTGACCTGTTTTATGCCCACTGCTTCCTTTTGTGATGCGGCCAAACTGCACAAGTGGGCAAGCACCTGCGCAAGTGATAACGTCCGTATGCTACGAACGTGAAGTCTTTCGATCAGATGAGATTTTGATCTTCATTTGCCACACAAAGACGACATATATTCAGGGTCCACGCTATCTCTCGCCGCTGCCGGTGCCGCTCCTCGCTACGGCGGGCAAACCCGAGTGGAACGGGGCTGACCCGGGTGGGTACCCGTTGCCCGGCAAGCGAGGCGTACAGCCACATGAGTCGGCCCACTACGTGACGTTGCCGCGACAACATTGTTTATATGTTAGCACCTATACACTTCAGCAGAATGCTCGGGTTTTCATGTTTACTCTGGAACCCGTACCATTTCTGTGGCTTTATATCCGACACTCTTACCATCGTGCGTATGTGCTTGCGTCTGTGTAGCAGCGCAAGCAATCTCACACACATGGTAACACGCGTGCCGCATGCCGTTCGTTCTTTCTCAGCCTCTCCCGCAGTCCTCCACCACACCATCCGCACCACGGCTATGCAACTAGGGTCGGAAGGGAAGAGCTGATCCCCCGTCCCGCAAGCCGTGGGATCTGGGCCCATCAGTACAGCCCAAGTGGGATGACTGGCAGCGGCCAGTGGTGATCCGGCGCTCCATACCCCCGCACGCTGCACGGCAGTCCCCCGTGGTGCCGTGGTGATCGCTCACTGTTCTCCGGAACCTCGGTCAGTCGAGTCCACTTATCACAACACCTGGGCATCTTGTTTGATGTGGTGGCTACATATTTTTCTACTCGAATGCAATGTACTTTTGATTATATGAGGCCTGCTAGCTGCGGACGAACGCCTGAATACGTGCATAGCCACATACGTCTAGTTTCTGCCCGACATAATGCACGTAGATAAAGCGCCTCGACATAGGGGGGCGAGCTCCACCGTGTTGCCAAGCCAAGCAATAACCGATTTCGTCGTTAACTATGATAATAAGATATTTGTGTGTTGACTCAACCTTTTAACTAACGTACAATACCGGAATGTGTGGGAAATAAATAAGTTCTGTCCAGCGCACTTGTAGCATTCTTTTGAGTCACGTATGCCTTACAAAATGAGGCCCTTATTCATTAGCAGGGTACAGCACAAAAATTCTTAATTTGAGCCGTCTCAGCTTAAAATCTGGTGTTTGTTTATATCTATAGGAAAAATACACAGCCTACTTGAAGGTAATCTGGAAGGTTGAGTTCATTAATACATTTCCTTTGATACTTTTCAGGGATGGTCAAACCAGTCGTTTTTAGGAGGAGACTGTCCGATCATCCCGCGGTTTTAACGGTTTCCCTACCATGCTGAAAAATCTAGGAAAACGTGATGCTTCTCGCTCTGTCCCGTGAGAGGATGGCTTTACATTCAGGGGGTAGTCCTGCTAACAAAGCACGTGATGGAAAGGAAGTTCCGCAGCCAGTATTGGCGTTTTAGACTTACTCCTCCTTTTAGCCTTTTCTATTCTACATCGCATGTGTCTGACTCAGCCACCACACCTCGTGTGATTAGTGCTTGCTTTGGAAAAAATAATATTGTTTCCTTCTAGTTGCGTACTACTTGTGCCATAGTGGCCTAAGTAGTATCTGACTAGCTGCTCGACATTATGTCGTGCTATTTTTGAGCCAAGCAACTACCCATCTCAGACCAAAATTTATCGCCAATTAACACATGCAAAACAGCTCTGCTCTGCTGCTGTCTTCCATTTACTTCTGCGGTGCGTGTCAGAACACGCTTCTTACCCAAGTCGCATCAAGGCTGTCTGCCTGAGTCCCTACGTCCGTAAGCTTCAGTCTCCGTGCTGCCAAATATTTTCTGCATTGAACCGTTTTATCTTCTTGGCGTTTCTCCAGTGAAAGGAGAAAACCGGACAGATTGTGGCCACATATCTATTTCGATAGCCTTTCACGACTCGGCTTCATTGTAAGACAAAGGCATTCTACTGAACCGAATACCCATGTCAGCCTTAATGCTTTACCTAATGCCTCTTCCTAATGCCTAAATACCTTTACCTAATGCTTTACCGAATGCCTAATGCCCGTCTGTTTACGGCGATCGCTTCAAATCAAACGGCTCGAGCTTCGTTTTGCGTATTTAGCTTTTGATCAGACACGTCATAAAATTATGTTAACAAACTAAGTAATTCCCAAAGCGTTTCTGCTTGGCCATTCATTGCTATCAAAATGTCGTCGGCGCATGCTTATACGTTGATCCCAGCATGCCCGAAGGGAAGTCCTTTTATCCTGACGTCGCGGAGTCCTTGCAGCATTGGTTCTATGCATAACAGGAAAAGGGTGCAACTTAACAGGTATTCCTGTCTCAGGCCTTTCACGATGGGGTACGATTTCGACAGTTCTCCGTTGATATGAATTTGCGCTGTGCTAGTGATAACGGTTTCTTGGTACATTAAGCTGGTCTGTTTCGCCATAGCACCACTAAAATGTAATGTTACGGAAAGGTTTTCAAATATGCCCTGTCAACAGAACCGTATGCGTTTACCAGACACAGAACAAAGGACATCCTGGTGTTTCACATCTGTGGCTTCTGTTCAGAAGTTTAACAACATTCTCATATTCTCTCCGTTATGTTCACTTTTATGAATCCTGTCTGGTGTGGGCTAATCAGAGCTGTAAGCACTTTTCCAATACGCCTTGCAAGGGTTTTGATGAAAAATTGTAGCGGCCTTAAAAACGACATCCAAGAGGCTGATTGGTCGTAACGATTCCAACCATGTTTATTTTTCCTTTCTTCGGAATCAGAATAATTACACCTTTTTATATTTCTTGATGTAATGTGTTGACAGCCATGCACTTCCTTATCTTGCCATAAATCAGGTTCTCATTTCTTACCAAAAGGCTATAGCGAGTGGCGACATACAAACACTCGAATCTGGGCTTGCGAATCTGTCCATGGACGCAACTGATGCATTTTTATGGTCCCACTCTGTGACAGGAGCTTCACGTCCTCTGCCTCCCTTTTGGTGAAACACAAGTGCTCTTTATGGAATCGCCGGAAGTATCATGTACCGATCGCTTGTAAAGGTACCGAAAAAAGTCGGCAACATGTCCGGCAGGACTGTTTTGTGACATGGCCGGCAAGAGGTTCGATCTCGCCGGCCTTAGTTTGGGTCAGTATAGCTGTCCCGAACATGATCCGTCTTGACTCCTGACGCTGTCTTAGACCATGATTAATGCGGCTTCGCGTTCCGCGAGGTGTCGCCACCGTCCTTAGCGATGCAATGAACTCGGGCTGTTATATCACTCGGAATGCCGTTTCCTTATTTTCATAGTCTGCGTAAAAATGATGATACCTCAAATTGCTGTGAATAATGCAAAATGGGCCGCTGTAACGGGATTATCCTGCGCTGAAGTAGTTTAACTTATTTCCCCTCTTTTTCAGTCATATGGTAGCCATATTTGTACTGTGCATGCGGAATATGCGTAGCACTGTCTGCAAAAGTAGGCAATGCGCAGAATTCACTCAAGAATTTCAATTAAATCAAGTAAGGGTTGATTTGAGCCAAAAAGGCCATGCCGGCCGATGATATTTACATTGCAAGCCGACAGCGCTCCCACAATGATGTGTTCTAGGTTTAACCTTCCACCCACAAGTAAAAGTATTTAAAATTTGGCGCCGTATGTGTGCAAATCGCCGCTCAGGCCGCACGGCAAACACTGAAGGAAACGCTGTCGGGAATCGACCGGATAAAACAGAAGCGAAAATCTGGCCAGTGTGTTGTACCAGCAGCTGATAGTCCTATACCAGTGCTATCGAATGCACACAGTTGCAGTCTTCGGTTTCGATGATAAACATTTTTTTTTCGAGGGCCACTGTACCATGGCCACTGCTTCACAAGAAGACCAGCGACAGTTAGTTATACGTCGTCAAGGAGTGGTTTGAAAACAAAAGTTCGTGCCGTCCAACAACAAAATTTGCGTTTCCCGCCGATACTGCTCCCACAATGACATCGTGTGCGCCAAGCCGCATCCTTCGCGCACGAACGAAAACATCTCGAACTGGACGCCGCATCTGTGCTGGGCATCAGCCAGCGGGCAGGGCGGGGAAGATTTTGGATTTGCACTGACGAGTCGGATGGGCTCGAGCGGAACAGGTGGGCAGCTGGACTGCTCGCCCGCCGGCATCGCATGTCTGACCCTCGTGTGATCAGAAGGACCGCCGGGGTGGTCTAGTTACGGTCGAATGCTTCGCGCAGCTGACAGCGCCAGTGGTTTGACAAAAAAAATCACGAAGCAGCTTTGTGGCAGTGCTTTGGGCTTCATTCTACTAGTGCACCTTTGCTGTCCTTGTCCCCATCCAAAAAGCTGTCTTTTCTTCCCTTTTTTCTCCAGAAAAATTAGTGTAGTCCGCCGTCAGAAAAAGC